AAAAAAAAAAAAAGAAAGAAAAAAAAAGAATATGAGCTTGTAAAAAGCAGCATAGATAACAATAATTGCAAAAAGATAAAAAAAAGTTAATGGAAAAACAACAATAACAGCAACCAAAAATTTATTTAAAAGTCGGAATTAGTTTATTGTTCAATTTGTGGGTCATCATTCCAACCGGGCACTCTAGTCAACCCAACCAAACGGCAGGTTCCATAAAACATACACATACGCAGAAATACAGAAAAAAAAAGCAGAAATAAAAATAAAAACAAAAACAAAAATAAACATAAGATAAAAAGAAAAAAAAAAGATTAGTCGGAAGAACAAAAAAAAAAAAATGTAACAGGTTGATATGTTACACCGAAGCCGTAGTTCAAAAACAAAAAGCAAAGTTGGCAAAGCACAAACATTTACCAAACCATCAAAACAGTTATCATTGTCCAAACCGTTTTTGACCACATCAGTATATCACCTTGATCAGCAACGGCGGCAGCAGTACCATTACCATCATTAATCGCAAATCCGACACACCACAATAATTCAGTCTGCCAAAAAGATATCATTATCTGATACCACAAGGGTAATGGGGAGGAAAAACAGGAACCAAATAAAAGAAGCCGAAATAAACAAATGTATTTGAAAAATCTAAACCTTTCCAATGATCATAACAATCTAATAACAATGACATTAATGACAGTGATGATAAGAATGAAAATGATGAAAAATCTGATAGCTCATCAAATAAAAACATCTGTGTGCTTTGTTGGTTCATTAACTAATCTACGCTATCCACTTCCTCCAAATCACATTCCAAAACAACAAAACAATGTATTTCCTCGAGCCGCCATTGACGGATTTGTTGATCAACTGAAACACCCCGTTAATAATGACAACAGATCAACATTTTACACTAATTTAATATCATCATCATCGTCGTCATTAACCTTGGCTTTAATTTTTTTTCCTTTCTTTTCAAAAATCTTTTTCTTCAATTTGTTTTCACTTCTCTCTTTCTACTAAACAGAAAGAGCAACAACAACAACAACAGCAGCAGCATCATCATCAGCAACAACCAAAAAACAATTATCATTTCAGAAGAAAAAAAAATAAATTAGACAAAAAAAGAAACGATGAAGAAGGCAAAAATGAGCTTAAGAAAAGATGATGAACATTTTTGCAGGAACAAAAAAATTGCTTTTTTTTTTTTTTTCAAAGACAGAAAAAGTAAACAGAAGAGGCGAAAAAAGAAAGGAAGAAATTAAAAAGAAGAACAAAAAAAGCGAAATGAGGAGAAAAGGAGGAAAGAAAAAAGAAGAGAGAGAAACTTTATAAGTATTCTTTGGATGATGTATCTTTGACCAGTTCTGAAATTTAGAAGAATTTCAAGCAGAAGAAAAAAAACAAATCTTAAATAAATATATGAATAATTTATTTATATATTTATCTGTCTATTTAGTTATTTGTATAGAATGAGAAGCAATCAAAAACTGACCACCATTATTCAATATCCCTAAAAGCTTTCAACTAACCCACTAACCAACAACACCAACAACGACAACGACAACGACGGCGAGAACAATAACAACAACTGCAAAAACAACACTGGTGACAACAACGATGACGACAACAAATTGCAACAGAACCAATACCAAAAAAAAAAGAAAAAGAGGTTTAGGATAGAAACAATTCATTTAAAAGTTTCAAAAATTGAAACCACCAAAGAACAGGAAAATACAAGAAAGGAAGAACAACAACAGAAGAAAAAAATAAATAAATAAAAAAAATTTGGAATACATAAAAAACAAATAACACCGACAAAAATTTTCCATTTCATTGTTCTAGAAAATCCTTTCAGTCTCGAGACACATCATATTACGCCACAAACTGTCTCGGTATCACTTGCAGCCGACAACCGACACCATAGACGATGATCATAACTCAGACAAACTGATCAGAAAAGAACAAAAACTCAGACACGAACATACGCTAACAATAATCACAGACAACAGATCAAACTAATCAGAACATTTATATCAAAAATTTCCCAGGCTTTGTTTACAGATCAATGCTGCAAGTTGTTGAAAAGAAGAAAAGAAAGAAGAAAA